AACACATCTGAGTTCTGGTAGAACCTGACACCAGATCAGTTCTACATCCATCCAGGTGTCATGATCTGAAGATAATTGAAATCTGAGTAATTTAGGATCAGTTTCGTGTCATTTTGAATATTTTTTTTTGAGTCATTTTGGACATTTTTCATGACATTTTGAGCAATTTTTAAATATTCTTTGGACAGTTTTCATCTAAATTATCAACATGACAGTTTTTCACCATTACTCAAGTTCATCATAATGTTGTGCAAAACTGGTCAGTAAACTATAAAAGATAAAAAAGGATAAATATACAAAAAGAAATAAAAGGTTGAAGAAATACTGCAGGAGATGATGGATGTTTACATCGTGCCATCGTGGAGGCGTCTTGTTGAGGCGGAGCGGATGTTTTACATGTGAGAGTTCATGATGGTGACGACTCTCAGAGAGAAACTGTCTCTCAGTCTGCTGGTCTTTGCTTTAGAGCATCTGTAGCGCCTCCCAGAGGGCAACAGCTCAAACAGCTGATGGCAGATCTGGTGTCAGTTTTTAGCACAACTCAACAAAAAAATTGCAAAAATGATACGAAAGCTGTCTGAAATCAAACAAAAAACTTCCCACATTCCTCAAAACGTGTCCAGAACACCTCACAAGTTGGTCAGAATGACGTTAAATCGTCAGAAAAAATACTCTAAATGTTGAAATAACAAAAAATGTCCAAAATGACTTCATTTGAAATGAAAGTTGTCAAGAATTACTCAGATTTGTCCAAAATGTCTCAAAATTCATCCTCATGTTTTGTCTGTCGATTGTGACACCTGGAGTGAATTTAAAGGTTCTACCAGAACCCAGACGTGTTCTTCCTCCTCAATGTCGTGTCCATCTGCTGGACTGATGAAAGAGAAACTTGTCCAAGATGAAATAGAAGTTGTCTAAAATGTGTTGAAACCTGATCCAATTTGTCCATAATGACAGAAAAAGACTCAAACACTGTCCTAAACGATTCAGACATCGCCCAAAATGTCTCGAAACTTCTCTGAAATGACCCAGTATGCCTCAGAACTCGTCCCAAATGTCCCCAAAATGCCTCAAAATCTGTCCTGAACAATTCAAAGCTTGTCAAAAAACACGTTGAAACGTCTCCAGAGTGACTCAAAACTCATCCTGATCCATTTAAAACAACAAAATGTCTGTAAACCAGAAAAAAGGTCACAAGATGAGCCTCTTATCAAGATGTAGGAAAAACCGGGACCTTTGATCTGCTGGAACTGGTTCTGACCAAAGCTGATCTGGTGTCAGGTTCTAGCAGAACCCAGATGTGTTCTTCCTCCTAAATGTCATGTGTCTATCTGCTGTACTGATGAAGTTCTGAGGCTCAGAAATGATGGAAAAAGTCCATTAAAGTGATCAATCTGGACCCTCCTCTGTGGACTTGAAGGACCTGGACCTCTGGAACATTCACAGTCTGAAGGTAGAACTCTGGTCAGTAGATGAAGGTTCTGCAGATACAGAACCAGATGTTCTGAGGAGNGAGATGATTTTTGTGTAATTTTGGACGTCTTTCATGACATTTTGAGCAATTTCTGAAACATAAAAACACATCTGATCTCTTTTTAAAACACTGACACCAGATCAGTTGTACATCCGTCCAGGTGTCGGCCTTTTGGGGATTTTGTGTTCAGCGTTTTTCAGATTCCTGCAGCTTAAATTATTGATCTGTCTAAAAGGTGTTCTGACCATGTGGTGACCATGTAAAGACGAAGCGACCCTTTCTCCTGCAGATGCCTTAGACTACACTGAGAAGTGGCTGGAGGAAACGGTGAAATGCCTGAAAGAGTCGGAGGCGGCTGGATGCAGCGCCGCTTCGTCCGACTCTCACCTTCCTCTCAACGTCCACAATCAGGCTTATCTCCGCCTGCTGCGGTGGGATCACGCCTCAGACCCCTTCCCAGAGGTAAAGCCAGCCCTCGTCACCTCATTTGTCCAGCACATTTAATACATCGTGTTCTGATTTCAACCAGGAACTCTCCTCTGGGCCAGTTTGTCATGTTGCTGCACTGAGGTGTTGTTTGATTGGTTGTTGGGTCCAAAACGAAGTTCTGTTCAATATTTTTACTCCTTTTTGAGAACTTTTTATGTCTTCAGACCTGGTCATTTCTGTGTTTTCACCCTCAAATAGAGCCTGTATTACCTGAGAAACCAGCCAATGAAGGAAGCTTCAGTTCAAGGTGGTCCATGACTCCAGTCTGGTTTCCCTTCAGCACATTTTATCTGCATAAGATTCCTTTTGTCTGGAACATCTTCTGTTTTTCCACATCCCTCACAGACAGATTAGTCATTTTATTGGTTCAGTATCTGCAGAAATAAAACTCCTACAGACATGAACTGTGGTGACAGAATAGTTTATATCAGATCAGGATGATTGAATGGATCCAACAGAGGACACAGTTTGAATTATTGGTCCTTCAAAATGGGAAAATGTGCAAAATGTTTGCTCAAGGTTGGTGTTGTGTCTCCAGAGAGTTCCTGTCAGTGTCTATCTATGGATGGATCCATGGTTCTACTAGAACCCAGTCTCTGGTCACATTTCACCACCTGTTGAGGCTCTAACATCAGTAGAACCTGATGTGGTGAAGTTGGACCAGATGAGGTTCCAAGTTTTAGATGTTCAGACTAAATGTTGACGTGGATCATTGGTAGGAACCAGAACCTGGAGGTTCTAGATGTTGGTTCTGGATGTTCAGAGCTACAAGATGCTTCATGTTGATTCATGTTGGAGTTCAACAACATGCTGAATGTTCTCATACAGATGCTGGAAATTAACTGAGAAGACGATGATGATTCAACATCATCATGAATAAACTTTTCTCCATGTTGAAGGACTAATCATTAAAAATGTGTCCTCAGCTGGATCCATTCAATCATTTAGAAACTCTTCTGTCTGTGTCCACATTTCCAGGCTGTAGGAGTTTTATTTCTGGAGATACTGAACCCTTAAAACAGCATCACAGGGTTTTTTTTGATAAAAATTCTCATGTCTGAAGACGTGTAAGATTATCAAACTTCAGCCTCAGTATTTTCCAGAACTTGGCTTTGGTGCCTGGATAACAGGAGCGCTGTCTTAAAGCGTCCCTTCTTCCCTCCAGACGGTGCTGATGGATCAGGTCCGGTTCCAGGAGATGCAGCAGGAGGCCGACCAGCTGGTTCTTCTGTCCTCGGTGCTGCTCATCGTCTACACCACGACAGGAGAGGCCATCTCGGGCCTGCCGGGCCTGATGGAGACCCTGAAGAACACCGTCAGCGTCATGATCGCAGACATGCACGCGCCGTGAGTTCTGCTTTAACAACACAAACAGTTTGATGAAGCTGCAGCGGCCAGCTCGGCCTTCGCTTCCCTCATTCCAGACCTTCTGACCTCCAGCTGGACCCTGCTCCCATGCTGCCTTTCCTACTTCCTGTTTGCAGGTCTTTTAGTCTGCAGGAAGCTTTGGCGACGCTCGGAGAGAAGCTGTGTGTCGAACTCAGTCAGAGTCTCAGTCGACACGGATTCTCTCCGTTCTCCGCCGACAGAAGCAGCGCGTTGAAGGGACAGATCTCAGCCACCGTCCAGCCAGACAACACGGTCCGCAAGCTGATGGGTGAGGACGGGACGGTCTCCAACCGGACCGCCTCAGAACATCTGGTTCTGTATCTGCAG